TTCTCAAAACCTAATCCTCTATCATGCAATTTCTCAAACCTCTACCAATAACTCGACATTTGTGTATCAAAAAAACCTACACAAACATCCATAAACTCATATTAAACAAATGAAAGGAAACCCTACCTCTTGGAGAGGAGAAGAAACACAGTTTTTGAAATGGAGTCAAATCGGGTTGAAGGTGGGAGTTATGGTGGATAGAGGGAATGTAGAGAGAAGAGAAACATATATATAGAGAGGCAGTGAAAGAAATAAGTGAGGAGAGAGAAAGGGATCTCAAAAAATAAAGAGGGGGCTAAAAAATGCTAGGCTAGAAGGCTGCCACGTTGCAGCTTTTCAGCCTTGGCGTCACGTGCGAAGCCTCTTGCCTCACGTACCCCAACCCTTGGCCGCACCTGCGGTTTTGTGCCGTCCCAAACCCAGAAAACCAAACTCAGCCGTGCGTGCGAGACATCCCTCCTGATGCACATGCGGCTGCTGCCTGGTGAGGTTCGATTTTTCTAGAGGTGTTTCTACATTCTTATTTTTCGTCCTTATGCCTGAAACTCAAATATTAAAAACATTATACGCTAAATAAAAATTAATACTTACTGACTCAATCGAATCATCAAAACACAACTCGTCATACTAATGGTTCGAAAATGTATCGGGGCATCCATATAAGTGGGTTCAAGTGTCATGTCGACACAAGTACTTTGCCAAAATTGACGAGTCCATGTAATGTAGGCTGCTGAGTACTTAGAGGTGTGGACACAACCACTTGGGTTTCAAAGTAGACTCTTTAAGCTTTAAAACAGTGGGTGGATTGTAAGAAATGGACTTTGTATAGGCTCGGGGTGAGTTCGCCTCAAAAAGATAACAAACCACTCCTATGGTTTTTACCACAAGGCTGGTCCGGCCATACACATAGGGTCGGTCTGTCCCTGCGGACTTGGATCGATCTATTTTTGGTCCCCGAGTTGGTTTTTTTTGTAAACTACGAAATTAGTTCGGGTTTTCTTCATCCCACATTGAAAAACAACTCTACAGATGCAAAAGAGAGGATTTTGAAGAGTTTCCCAAGAACCCCAATTTTAATCAATGTGGGGAGTCTTCCCTTTTCAAAATTGTGGACCTATTTTTCAAAACACTCGGAACTTTCAATTTTCATAAATTAAGTAGTTTAATTTTGCTGGACAAACCCTAAGGTGAATCCTTTAAGGGGTTGGGCTCAAGTCATGCAGTGTTATTTCTTAGAGTTGAATTCACCCCCCAAAAGTTTTTGGTGTGATTCCCATATGGAAGATTTACTATCCTTGTTCCACTAAATAGTTAATGTCAACTTTGTTTATGTGCCATGTACCTGTCGTCATGCATTAAAGGTCTAATAAATTTAATTCATAAACCAACGGTGATGAATAAAGGCCGACCTTATGGTCGAACAAGATGGGTTTCTCACATCTTCCCATTTTGTACCTTACACTCTATTTGTTTGGACGAAAAATATTTTCTGAAAAATTGTTTTTTTGTATTTTCTGCTGTTTGGTACAATAGAAAATAAAAGTCAAACGGAAAACATTTTCCATAGTCAACTAAAAATAAACCTATATGGGCAGAAATGTGTTTCACTTTTAAAAGGTAGAAAATATTTTCCGAACTAAAGTCTTACCAATATCACCACACTACCACTGCTACTCTCACCCCCACCACCACACCACCATCACCACGGCCACTGTCACTATCATCGTTGCTATCACTGCCACCGCCGCCCCACCACCATGCCACCACCTCCACCTTCACCTTCGTTTCACCACCACCACTACCAAAAATGTTTTCTCCAAAAAACATTTTCTGGAAAAAAAATTTCGTAGAAAATGTTTTCCATTTGAAAATGTTTTCCGCCCAAACAAACGGAGCGTTAGTCCCTAAATTTTTTGATAAATAAATAAATTTTATAAAGAAAGAGCATTAAGAATATGCTAAAGAATACAAAACAAGAAACCCCAACACAAGAAGGGGAAACAACTGGCCAACTACATCATCAATGAAATCTAGAAAGGTAAACAAATTAGGATTCACATGCCTTGACGCCCAACCACACAAAACATGAAGATACCTATCTTCTAACCCAGATACATAATGAGCAACGCCCTGGAAAACACACTGATTTAGCCCCAACCACAACAACCACATCAAGAACAAAAGAACCAAAGCCCAAGCCTTGCGACACCGTTTCCCAATCCAAACCCCACCCCAACTCCGAAGAACCTCCATTACCCCTCTTTGTTGCACCCACACAACTCCAAGAGTAGAGAAAACAAGCATCCATAAACGATTAGCTACCGGACACTGAATGAGTAGATGATCCACCGGCTCCGCATCCCCACCTACGTTACACGGACTCGTTCATTTTTGGGAGGTACCCGTGTCGACACGACACGACACGGGTACGGGTACGGGATATGGCCGGGATACGGCGAAATAAAAATGGATACGACTAATTGTTTTATAATATTTTTGTTACAAAATTTCTTTTTTGTTCTTAGTTTGAACAGGAAGAGGGTAAGATGAGAAGAAACAAACCAAGGAAATCCAGAATTTCACAACTTGATTTGAATGGAAAGGAAAAGAAACTTGAAATGTTGACGCAAAGTTCAACAAGACGAAGTCGAAGTGCGAAGTCGATCTTGTCTTCCTTACATGTACTTGTGTCGATCTCTTGTTCTTCTCTCTCCAGTTGTGATCTTGATCTCGTGTTCTTCCCTCTCTCGATCTCTCCTGTTCTTTCGTCTCTCGATCACCTCTTCTCTCTCTCCCTCTCTCTCTCGATTTGTCTTCTCTTCCGTATCGTTCTCAATCTCTCTCTCACCCCAATATTATTTAAAGATAATAATGACTCTCTCAAGTCAGCAAGCTACTGACTCCTCTACTTCTATTTCAATAATATCTCACCACTACTCCTCCTTTTTTATTTAAATATAATGACTCTCTCTCCCCCTACTATTATTTAAAGACAATAAAGACTTCTTTCTCACCTCATTACTTTTAAAATAATAACTTTACAAAGATAATAATTTTATATATATTAAATTTAATTAATTAAATATTTTTTAAAAATATTTTTATGCTATATTTAATCAATTAAATATTATTTAAAAATTTATTTAGATAAGTTTTTAACATGATAATTTAATAAATATTTTTTAAAAATAACTACTTACCGTATCCCCCCTATGAAGCACGTACACCTCTCCGAGGGCTCCGTACCAGTGTCAGACACATGTCGGACATGGACACGCGTCGGACACGCGGTTGACACGTGTTTGACATGCAGCAGAGAGTGTCCCTTTTTTTTTTTAATTTTTTTACATTTGGACACGTTCAGGACACATTATAGACACGTTTAGGACACGCACGGGGGCAATTTCACAATTTACTAAATATTTTTGGGGTCGATTTGTAAATAAGCAGAAACAGATCAAAATTTGCCCTAATCACTGTGAATCTACTTTGAATAGAAGAGAAAGGGTGAGAAACAGCAGAGAAAGGGTGAGAAAGAGTGGACCTGACTTCGTCGTTCGTCTGCTCTCCTCGTCGATCGTCGCTCCTCGTCGGTCGTCAGTCGTGCTTCGTCGTTCGTCGTTAAGGTACACTTCTTCTTCGATCTGCGATCTTCATTCTTCTTCGATTTCCCTCAATCGCTCTCTCTCTCTCTCTCTCTCTCTCAGCTCTTCTTTCCTCAGTCGATCGAACCCTTCTGATTTTATTTTTTTCTTTTATTCTGATTTGAATTTTATTTTTTTCTTTTATTTTTTTTCTTTTATTCCGATTTTAATTTAATTTTTTCTTTTCTTTTATTATGATTTTATTTTATTTTTTCTTTTCTTTTATTTTTTTTTATATTCTGATTTTATTTTTTCTTTTCTATTATTTGAGTATATAATTTTAATAATGCATGTTTATTTTTAAATCAATTAAATGTTTATTTTTTCAATTAAATGTTTATTTTTTAAATCAATAAATGTTTATTTTTTTATAATTTTAATAGTGTTATTTTGTATATTTTATTACCTTTATTTGATTTTTTTTAATAATTTTATGGCATATAATAAATAAAATTAATTATATATATTGAACGTGTCCCCAGCGTGTCGTGTTCCTTATTTTTTAAAAATTTGCATTTTTACGTGTCCGTGCCGTGTCACGTGTCCGTGTCCGTGCTTCATAGGTATCCCCGTACCCGTATCCAAATTTGGATCCATATCCCCGTATCTTTCATTTTCAATTTTAAAATGTCCGACCCTTAGATGTGCACCCGCACCCGATATTTGTACCCGAGTCCGTGTAACGTAGATCCCCACAACACATACAACACCTGTTAACTATAAAATCCCCAAACCAAATTATAAATCGTAAGGATCTGACCAAAAGCAACTGTGCACACAAAGAAAGCCACCTTTGAAGGAATACCTATAATCCAAAGGCACCAAGGAAAACCCCCCCACCCCAAAGCTTGATAGAAAAAAGACACTGAAAAAATACCTTTGGAGCCCTTGCCTGCCCAAACCAAAGCATCCTCCCCCCACCCCTGAACATGATCCCCATGAAGAAAACTCAATAAATCCAACAATTGGTCAAACTTCCAAATTTAGGCCTAGTTTGGGAAGACTAAATAAGTGCACTTTTTGACTTTTTATGAAATATAGGTTGGGTTTGAAGTGATGTGTTAGAGAGGTGATGTGACTTAAATAAGATGATGTGACTTAAATAAGATAGTGACTTTTTAACTTTTTGTCTTTTTTCAATCATTCCAAACTTGGCCTTAGTCTTTGGTAAAGTCAGACCATATCTAATTTTGGAGTCAAATTTTTGGATTCTTGGTTATACCCTAAAAAACCAAGTGTTGACTCCCAATCTTTTGCAAAATACAGATTGAAATATTTTTCAAGCCATTGTGCTTACAATTGTATCATTAATCGTGTTAACAAACTATCTTCTTATATAGTTTTCTTTTGCTTCAGAGGTCTTGACCAAGGAAAACATTGTGGAACCTATGCGAGACATTAGGAGAGCTCTTTTAGAAGCAGATGTAAGATTTTTTGGATTTAGTAAGTTTGTATTTTATTTACAGGAGATTGTTCCTCAAACATAACAATTGCGAAATTATTTTTTGCAGGTAAGCTTTCCAGTTGTGAGAAGGTTTGTCCAAACTGTAAGTGAACAGGCTGTTGGTGTTGGCTTGATTCGTGGAGTGAGACCGGATCAGCAATTGGTCAAGGTATGCATATTCATTATGTGGACACATTTTACAAATGTAGATAGTACGATAGAGATTTGATAGAAAGGTGACAATTCATGTCCGATGCACTTATTGAACACTAATAGGGTTGACAAGGTGAGAGGTGAAACAGACCAGTCAGATAGAAAGAGGTAGTGGGGAGAAAGTACAGAACCTCTAGATTGTAGAGAATGTGAGCATATGTATGTAATTGTGTGTCCAGAAATCTAGGAAACTGTAAGGGGAAACTGTTGGGCTGTTAGATCCCCATATGCTGCCTTTTGGCAGGAAAGCTTGCCTTGGAGGCAAAGAAACCAGGCTTCTAATAGGTTCTAGGCTAAACCATCGAGGAGTAACGAATTCAGTTAGAATGGTTAAAGGCAACTCGACCCACGTGGAGTGGACTGTGAGGCGAATCCTTCATCTCTAGCCGTCAAGTCACAAGACCCCAAATTCCTGCGGTGCATGCAAAGTCATTTGGCACACCTAGGTCTTAGCTCATGGCCTAGGTGGTGAGACACAATGTGGTATCTGGACTGCTAGCTCCTGTGAGATACTAGGAAGGTGCCTTGCTGTGTAGTTAGACTGCAGCACACACTAAGTGTTGTTGATCTGAGGTCTCTCTGAAGTTAGTTCAGTTAGACCAAACACCTGGTCCCATGATGGCTGACACGTGGAGGTCTTTTTATTGACTTAGGTAACATGTCCTTGTTGACGTGTCTAGAACATGCAGAGTTAAGTAGGTACCTATTATGACCAAAAAAAAAAACCACTTCAATGCTCATATGGAATTTGAATCAGAAGTTTAATTGCAATTGGAATTAGAACTGCAATTAAACCGACATACTAGGTCAACATGTAAGAAATGATTTTGTAACTCATGAAGCTTTGCAATGTTTTTATCTTGTAAAGATATTTTCTCTATACAGTGAATATGCTAGTCCAATAAGAGTCGATATTGAATTGACAAATGTCTTGCTTTAGTGTTCTACTGATATGTGCTAAGAAGCACGAACACGGAAATATGACACGACATGGATACACAGACATGCAAATTTTCAAAAAATATAGGACACGACATGCTGTGACCTCTGGAGAAGTGTCCATGCTTCATAGGGTATGCATGTATTTTGTAATGTTTCTGTGGTAGAATGTTTTGGGTCATCTTTACTGGTAGATATGATATTGTTAGTGATCTTTCGAGTTACACAAATTGTTATTGTTTCTTGTTTCTATACTCTCTTTATTTCCATTTCTACATAGCACTGGAACTTATTTCATTTCATCCAAGGCTTGCTGTGATCCACTAGCTAGTAAAAATGGAAGCTAGCTGGTACTGGAACTATGTTTAAGACTTCAACTGAGTTACCGATTTATGCAGATTGTACACGATGAACTTGTGAAATTGATGGGTGGAGAGGTTTCTGAACTGGTTTTTGCAAAATCTGGGCCCACTATAATTTTATTGGCTGGCCTACAAGGTGTTGGAAAGACAACTGTTTGTGCAAAATTAGCTTTCTATCTTAAGAAACAGGTGAACTTTCAAAAGCATCGTCTCTCTCACACACATGCATGCGCGCACACAACATAGAGCTTAATGCACATACGCTTACAGGCATACATGGTTTACAGGGGAAAAGTTGCATGCTGGTTGCTGGAGATGTGTACAGACCTGCTGCAATTGACCAACTTGTAATTTTGGGTGAACAGGTATTCGATATCCATTGTCCATGACATGTCCATTTCCAATTCGCTGTAATTTCTAGTTCTTTTTGTTTGTGCGATGATTTTGTTGAAGACATCGAAGCAGATTGTAGGGTATGAATTGTCTTCATTAACAAGTCACTGAGCACAATGTTAAAGCTTGTCTTTGGATAGTTATTCCACAAGAAACTAAGGCTCCATTTGGTATAATTTTTAAAATGAGTTTTGAGTTGTATTTTGAAAGATAAGTTATTGAAAAGAATTTTGAAAGTAGAAAATTTGTTTGGTTATGAGTTTTGAAATAGTTTTTTGATGATTTGTAATTTTTTTTAATTTTTTTTTAGTTGAATAGATGAGTGAAAGAAAATTTGATTAATTGATGTATAGAATGTGAGAGAATGAGAGAGGAGAGAGAAAAAGTGATTGATTGATTTATTAATAATAAAAAAAGAGAAGAGAGGAGGGAGGAAATTGAGTTTTGAGTAACCAAACAAACTTTTCAATTTTATCATCCAAATCATGTTTTAAAAATCAAACCAAACACTACCTAATTTTTTCGTCATACTTGAAAGATGATGACAGATGAATTTAGTCTCCGGAGAATCTTATTGGCCTTATTCAACTTGGGACCTCTTAGTGTCCATTTGGTGTTCTTTTATCTTCACTCAAAGTCACAGAAAGAGTGCCTTTGAAGACTCTACTTTACTGGAGTTCCATGGTCAAACAGCTGAAAAAAATAAGTAGTGGCTTTATTGTAGGGAATTAGGATATGAAATTGAGGTGTCCACGAAAGATAACATTCACTTTTGGTACTTTAGCCCATGAGAATTTGGTGATAAGACTATAGGATTACATTTCATCAACATAGTAACTAAAGAAGGTACAAAGCATGTCTCGTTATTCTCTTGGGTAGCGCTTGTAGCATGACTTAGATTTCTTTCAATAGACCAGACACCTTGGAGGTGGTTTCGAATCATTTCCTGCAGTGAAGTGTATTGCTTGAGGCATTAACCACTGTGCTTTTGTAATTCTTACATTCCTCATACTTACCCTTTGGTGGTTAGACTTATTAAGGTTCTCATGTGGTTTGAATCTCATTGTTTACATAGTAAACGGGTTTAGAATGTTTTGTTGGAATGTGTCCCACATCGCCTGGAGTTGCCCCATCGGTACTGGTTATAAGACTCTAGTTTCCCTCTCCTTAATACCTGGGTTTTAGGGAGAAGTGTGGGCAGGGCTTTCAATTTGGTATCAAAGCTTGGTTGGGCCTATAACTAGTGTGCCGTTTGTCCGGCTACTGTATGTTGTGGTCTAGGAGGGTGTTTTGGAATGTGTCCCATATCGCCTGGAGTTGCCCCCATCTGTGCTTTTTATGAGGCTTTAGCTTTCCTTTCCTTAATACCTAGGTTTTAAGGAGAAGTGTGGGTTGGGCTTTTCAATTCGTTTATCTCTAAATTGTTCTTTTAATGGAAGTTTTGGATAGAGTAGGATATCTTGTAAAGTTTCTTATTTGAAGTTATCTAAGAAGAGCTATCGGACGCTTAGATCTGTTAACTTTTAAGTGGTTTGCACCCGAAAGAAAGCATGCTGAGCAATTATTGTATTCTGTATTTATTTTTATTTTTTTCTGCTTTGTAACCCTCATGTTTGATTCAACTTCATGATCACGTAATTCATTCTCATATTCAATGATAAGCTTGGGACAGGTGGATGTGCCTGTTTATGCAGCAGGAACTGGTGTTAAACCTGCAGAAATAGCTAGGCAAGGTCTGGAAGAGGCCAAAAGGAAGAATATGGATGTGGTCATAGTGGACACAGCTGGAAGACTTCAGGTTATATCAGCTATCTACTATTTGGGCTACTTTTAATAAGATCTGTTTTTTTAATAAAATAATAATAATAATTATATATGTACTTTTCAACCTTATTTTAACTGATCTATCTTCTTTTATTTTTTTTGTTAAAATAACTGATGTATTATTATTGATTGATGTAGATGTTGATGTGTTATATATATTACAAATCAGAGTGGCTCATTATATAGGAGAGGGTTTGGGTAGTAGGTGAGGAGTAGGTGAGGGTAAATTGGTGGTAGGTGTAGTAGATGTGGTAGTAGGTGGTGGTAGGTGTAGGTAAATTCTAACATTTTTTTCTTGCTGTCAGATAGACAAGACAATGATGGATGAATTGAAAGAGAGTAGGTGAGGTGGTAGTGGTGGTAGGTGATGGTAAATTCTAACAGCCCCCCGCAAACTCAAGGAGGATAGAAACTAACCAACTTGAGTTTGAAGAGAGGAACAAAACAAGAAAATACATAAAAAATAAAAAAAAATGATACGAGACACTGTATGGTCGTGTCAGACCGTTGGTGAAGACACTGTATGGTGGTGTCAGAACGTTGTAGAGTATCTTCTTTTATTTTTTTTACTTACTGTCAGATTGACAAGACAATGATGGATGAATTGAAAGAAGTTAAACGGGCACTAAATCCCACAGAAGTTTTGCTTGTTGTGGATGCAATGACTGGCCAAGAAGCTGCAGGTCTTTAACCTTATTTTACTCTTTTTTCTCTGTTGAAGTTCTTTTATAGTGACAAAATTACTGATAAAAATAAAAAAAAGGCAAAAAAATTTCAATTATTTGCTTGCATCATAACCTTTTTATTGGCCATTTTTCATTGAACTCAATTGTCTGAATGGCCTCAATGTAGTCATGGTTTGACTGGTTGCCTAAAGAATTGTATTTAGCCTACCCACTTGATTGGGACAGAAGGCTTAGTTTGGTTTATAAAATCCCATTTATCATTGTGAACACTGAGCAACTAGCAATGGAGATGACATTAATCTTACATCAATATCTGATGGTTGGACCCATCTAAAAGTTAAAGTTTATCAAGTCTTTTTCATTTTTCATATATTGGTGGTATGTCATATACGTTAGTTCTATTCGATGATCTCGACATAAAAACACTTATTGCATTTAAAAACTATGGTTGAGCCCTTGATGGATGTGATGCATAACAAGATTGTATGGAATCCTCATACTGAGCATTTGAAGTACGGAAATTAAAAGATAATTGTTTCTATATGATAAATTGCCTGTCACATTGTTCTAGATCTTGGCTTTCTCCCCAAGATTGCTCATAGGTAATTCTCATTTTATCGTCTATTTAAAGAATTCGATATTGTTTGCTATGATCTCTTAAGTTCGTGGCTTGGCAGTGGCGTTTATTTTTGTGAGTCCAAGACTCCAGAAATCCCTAGACCAAATCTGGTGCAAGTTTGCAGCATGAAATGAAGGTTGCATTAAGTTTGGGTGTTCATACGTGAATGATTTTGTACCTTCATTCATGGCTGTTGTTTTGTAAACTTGATACAACTTGATAAACCTGGATACTAGGGTCTTCTAATCTTTGTGCAGCCATATGCTCTCCATAGAGGGGGGTCGAAAGCTTCTCCTAGTGTGAGAGTAAGGACCTAGCTACCTTATATGCATTACCTAGGACTCTACGAGTCTTACCCACCAACGATTTTAAAGGAGAGCTCTTATCAATATCTTCCACTGTTATCCTATACTAGACTATTGTGTAGCTAAGGTGCACCTTAATCACATGAGACTACTTGTCAATAAATGAAAATAAGTATGAGCATTCAAGCAGTATGCCTTCTTTAACAATTTATGTAGGGCTTCAAGGTTTGCATGAAGTTGCCAAACTTTTTGTTGTATTGTCATTGGGTGTTTTGCTATGCTTTGAGAAATTATTTGTTAAAATCCACCCACTACATCACTATCACCTCACCTACTCCACTAAACCTAACCCACTACACCAACTTTTTGTTGTATTGTCATTGGGTGTTTTGCTATGCTTTGAGAAATTATTTATGTGCCGGGCTTCTATATGCCAGCAAGCTGTTTATTTATTATTTTTTTCAAAGTTTATTTTTACAATTTTTTTATGATATTGTTATGATATTTTCTCAAAATGAAAACCAAATCTTAGTAATCATTTTGTCTCATACTTCATTAGAGCAGGATCATTGCTATGTCTTGTTGGTCTTTGTTTGTTCTTTATGTTCACTCTACTACCCTTTATATTTACGAGATAAGCAGATATCACTGTAATGTGCCCATTGATGTATTATTTCTTGCTTAAATAGTGTCATATTTTGTAGAGGGTCATGAAGTTTAGCCTTAGGCTATGTTTATAAAAGAAATGGTTGCATGCTTTCATATGCTTCTGAGGTAAAGCAGGAGTAAACCTGTACCTTGTGCAAGTTGGGGAGCTTTAATAACACCATTGACTTGACATCTGCCTGCATAATTATTTTGCATGCGGTGCACTCCTTAATTAGCTGCTATGCGGTAATGCTAATTGTAACTTCCATGTCTTCCTTTCTTCTCATTTTCTTTGGTGAATTTTCAGCCTTGGTGACAACATTCAATCTTGAAATTGGAATTACTGGTGCCATTTTGACAAAGCTAGATGGGGATTCGAGAGGTGGAGCTGCATTGAGTGTAAAAGAGGTTGGTATCATATTACCATTGAACCGTATCTATAATTTTATTTTGAATATCTGTTATTTTATTTTATTTTTTTCTATTTCATCCTCCCTGATAATAAGTTAGGTCTCTGTTCTTTGAGCCCCGTGCCTTCCACATCCAACAGTTAGGTAGTTAATGTTAGCAAGGGATACTATTTGTTCTGTGAATTTGTCTTCACATAGTACATTTATGTTTTATTAATCCTTATTGTTAGTGCTAGTTATTATTGTTACAGGTCATTTATATGTTATAATTTGAAGAGTTTTGTTCTAGACTAAAATTTTAGAACCATTAGGCTGGAAAGTTGAATATATGCATGCTCTCATACGTATGGCATATATGACACTGTTGATTTCATAACATTATTTTAAATATGTGTTGTATCCTGGTGGAACCTGAAGATGCACATTGATGATATAGTTGTGTTAAATATGTACAATAAGGTCATGTGTACCTGCAATTTGAATGTTTCTGTACTCACCAAGCTAAATTTCTTAGCATTTTTGAAAAAATTAACCTTTGCCTGAAGGTACTTGTGATGAAAAGAAATCATTCTCTCAACAGGGAGAAGAAAGAGAAAAAAGAAAATGATTCAAGGAAGCTTCAGAGCACTAACTTGTACTTGCTCTTTACAATAGCCTAATCATACAATAACAGTAACAATAGGAATTCATGTTATGATGCTTAAGAAAGTTTGGGTTATAGTACATTCTTGAGTAATTAAAGGTGCATCAGACTTTTCTAATGGTTGGCAAATTAACAACTTGAAACCTCAAATTAATGTGGTTCGACCAATATTGGCCTACATCCACACACACAAAGCCCTAGGGGGCTCCATCTTTCATTCACACAACTTGATACTCTGGTTTACATGATACACCATATATATAGATTGGGAGATACAATCAAATCCTTTCAGTTAAGGAATTGAAATAAATCAAAGATACAAAAGAATCATAATATGCACAAACCATGATATCTCCATATATTCTGGTGTCTTCCACATCTTCTGATATCTTTGACAATATAATCTTATTTCCAGCACTCTCTCTCAAGTTGGAACACGGAACGGTTAAATAGAAATGTCCAACTTGAACTCGAAAATAGGATCATCATTACAAACAACTACAATGAAGTTGTCGAGAGGCAACAACAATTGTAATAACTCCCTTCAATGACAACTTCAAAGAACATATGCAAGGAATCAACATCTTGCAGTAGAGAAATGTGCATGGAATCAGTCATGATGGTAGCAAGAGAAACCAACTAAGAGAGAGAAAGCAGCAAGGCTGAATCAACGACAAATCACCACAAACAAAAAAGGCTAAAAAAAAAAAAAAAAAAAAAAAAAAATTTATCTCACAAAGGATCTTACTGAACGCACCGGTAGCTCAAAAACAAAAAAGAACTAAATATGTGCTTACTGCATCAGCATAGGGATCCTAAAAGGATAGAGAAGTAGCTGGAAAACTAGATGGATCACAGAATAATGCTACCGAACACAATGGCAACCCCGAAACAAGGAAGAGGGAAAAACACCTTGATAACCAAAAAAATGTGGAGTGAGAAAGCACTCCATAGAGAAACATGACTAGGGTTTGATAGGCTCTGATACCAAGTTGAATTTTGTAATTAGGCAATAAGGATGAATATGGAAAGATAATAGAGACAGAAAGAGGAAAAGAAAGAATACAAAAGTTTAACGTGATTCGGCCAATATTGGCCTACATCCACCACATACCCAAAGCCCTAGGGGGCTAAATCTTTCACTCACACAACTTGATATTCTTGTCTACATGATACACCATATATATAGAGTGGGAGATACAATCAAATCCCTTCTGTCTATAAAGCACGAATACCTCTCCGGAGGTCACGTACATGTGTTAGACACGCGCTGAACACGCTCTGGATACGTGTTAGTAACGCTGGGACACTTCGGACACGCTGCGGACACAATGGGACACATTGAGGACACGCTGAGGACACGTTGAGGACACGTTGAGTACTATTTTTTTCAAAAAAAATTAAAATTTTTAATTTTTTTATTAAAATAGCATACCTAAGATTGATAAATGTTATAAAATTAAATATTTGATATAAAATACATATTAAATATTTAAAAATATAAGAATATATGTTTTGAATGTGTCCTTAACGTGTCGTGTCCTGTATTTTTTGAAAATTTACGTATCCGTGTATTCGTGTTGTGTCCGTATCCGTGCTTCTTAGCCTTCGGTTAAGGAATTGAAATAAATCAAAGATTCAAAAGAATCATAATATACATAAATTATGAAATCTCCATATATTATGATATTTCCATATATTATGATATCTTCTATATTTTCTGATGTCTTTGACAATATAATCTTATTTTCCACATATATACGTCACACATGTTACTAACTAGGGCCTTGTGATATTACTATGAAGTTTATGACACAAATATTTTTTATTTTTTTATAGAATTTTTTATTATATCTAACTCATTAATTATCACACCCCAAATCCAAGGCATGGATCGGCCATGGCCCATAGGGCCTTAGTCCAAGGCACACGAAAGTTTAAATAAGAATCCATAGTCATATAGAATAAAAGCAATAGTAGTCCCTTCACATAAATAAATCAAAATCCAATCCAGTGACATGTCATAAGTATAAATGGCAAAATCACCATGACCAACTTTCAAAAATATATACTAAAAGGGACACAAATAGCTCACACAATAAAGTAATTTTAAATAAAACACAACTAAAATGTATGTCCAAAATTGACATAGCAATCAAAAAATAATAAATGAATATCCTAAAGGTTCATAAAACAGTCCCTGCTGAGCCATGAGTCCACTCTAAGTCTTTCTCTCACTTGAAAATGTTTAACAACTAAGTCAGCTGATAGCTCAGTGAGTAGAAGTATGAATAATAAATACAGTTATGAAAATAGGCTTCTATTCCAAAATAAGATGTATGTAACAGAAATTAAATTGGCATACCGTTTTGATAAAGATGATTTGATTCAAAAGTGAGGTTCCACAATTTAATAGTTAAAAATATTCATTTTCCTCAAGAACATAACAAATGACATTCTCCATTTAAAACAGACAACAACATAATCATCATTATAAATTGGGTATCAAGAAAAACAAATAATATGCCACAAAGTTCTCAAGGAAACAAGCCCATTGGATCCAACATTGAACTAAGAGTCATCCTCAGGATGGCAACCTGGGCTTTTTCACTAAGACGATCCGATTGAAGGTCACCTAGCCTAGCCTAGGTTTGTTCCTTACAATCGTTGAGTACTGGAGTCACCGTAGCCTAACCTGGATCTGTTCCCTAGTGGCCAAAGTCACCATACACATTGGAATAAATTCTCTGGACTTTTATATATATGGTCCCGATAATCAATACAATTCAGTTTCGCAAAACATGGTAGTTCACTATTACAAACACGAAACCATATCAAATAGTTTACTGCATGCCAAGTTTAAACACGTTCCACAAATAGTTTAGTTCCAATAATATAATAATAATTTAACCAAGGTAGTTTGGTCACAAAACAACAGTTCACTTTTCAAATAGTTTTAGGGAAAAGGAACATTTATAAAAATACGTAGCATGCAACTACTCACCTGAAAATAAAACAATATAATCCTTGACTAGAATATGAAAGTCCAACTAGTGTCCTCAATACTAACTCAAGAGTTACTAAAAGATTAATAAATGAAGTAACTTCTAGCTAAAGCGCACTCACATGACCTGCCCCAACTTCTTGTTACTCTTAAATAATACTTAAGTTCATCTTATTCAAGGTTCCAAAACACTTTGGTATCAACTACTAGTCTATGTCTAAAGTTTCAAACCCAAGTGGTTTTACTCAATTTGCTTATCATAAGAATTATTTACAATTAATTATATCCAAATAGGTCACTTTCTGCAGCACATTAAGGAAATTAATGGTTCTCTTACTATACACGAGCAATCGACACAAGGCCGAAAAGGTAGGAAACTAGACTTGTAAACAGTTCTAATGATGCTGGTTTGATAATTTTCAGATTTATATCCAAAGAGAATGATAATTTAAAGTTAGCAATTTTGTGCAGAATTTTAGGACCAAGGATTTCCTCCCACCATTCAAGCACGAGTTCAGCTCCTTAATTTGTTTCAAAATTTTCATAAAAATAAAATATATGCACAGAAGTTGTTATGGTACAAAAAGGCGAGCCAAGACCAAACTTCTGGATGGATTACTCATGCATTAATATTTGCAGCCCCAACAATATGCACAGCAAACATCCACTTGTGCTTGCTTGCAAAATAAACCCACTACAACCCTAAACTTCTCATCACCAACCACTAACTTTTCACACCACCATCCATCATCCTCACAAGAATTGATCTCAGCAACTCAATGGCCTTATTAAAGAAAATGATATACATGAAATATGGAAAGTATTTACTTGTTCCTTCCTTTAATTTACCTTGGTTGAAATTCCAATACAAGTGGTTCAGTGTCTGTTTTTTCAAATGCAGTTGTTTCTAGTCATCATTGTTGGGTCCTTTGAATTATAAGAATTATTTAATTGACTTACAAGAAGATAATTAGTGTTACTTTGTTATTAAGTATTGGACCATGACAGGTATCAGGAAAGCCAATCAAACTTGTAGGACGGGGAGAGCGCATGGAAGACCTTGAGCCTTTCTACCCAGATCGTATGGCAGGACGAATCTTAGGAATGGGAGATGTTCTCTCATTTGTGGAGAAGGCACAAGAAGTTGTGAGTGCCAATCAATTTCATTTAATAATTTATACAAGGATAGCTGTTTGATGTAGCTCTTAATTAAATTATGAGTAGATGCGCCAAGAAGATGCTGAAGAATTGCAGAAGAAGATAATGAGTGCAAAGTTTGACTTCAATGACTTCCTAAAGCAAACTCGTGCTGTTGCACAAATGGGTTCCATGAGCCGTGTTATTGGAATGATTCCGGGCATGGGAAAGGTGTGATTCTGGTTTTCTTGTCTTATGTGCATACACACTCACATATATTTCTCTAGTTTCAGTATCAGTGACAAAGTGGTGGATGAATTTTTTTTAGAACTTATGGTTCTGAGATAGGACAGTTGCAGAGAACCAAAAGGCTTTCCAATTGTTTTTATTGTCTTTTACTAACTGTGAAAAGGAACTTCAATTAATGGTCCAGTTACTTTTTATGGAAACAGATTACTCCTGCACAAATTCGAGAGGCAGAGAAGAGCTTAAAGATAATGGAAGCCATGATAGAAGCAATGACCCCAGGTTATTTCTCTTCTTGCCTGTTTGGTTAGAGAGACTATTAAAACTGAGATGGGTAGTGAAGAAGAAGCTGAGATCAAATTCAAGCCCAAAGCAACATGAGAAACATGGTAGAACAATGAAAAAGAAAGTACTGGGAGAACATTATTTGCAGCAAGTAGAAGTCAATAAATAGAAGAGCAAGAGAGACCATAACCAATTCTAAGGCAAAAGAAAACATGGAGAAACTTGAAGGAATAAGGGAGGGGAAATGGCAGAGAAGAGAAAGTAGAGGGAGAAGATTAATTGCATTAAGTAGAAGATAATTAATAGAAGAGCAGCACACCACAAAGGACTGGATTTTTTTTTTTTTTTTCACTTTCATACTACTCTGATCCTTATACATACAATAGCCTAAAATAATAAATAAAGTGAAATCAAGTGTCATTCCCAAGCGATTAATAGACAACAATGCTTTATGGAATGAAAGTCCAAAATAAGAAAAATTAAATTAACAAGACAAAATTGCTAAACAGAAAACCTCGCTTTAAATGCAAGGAGCAGTTAAATTTGCTTGACAGCCTATTCTGTGATCATAAAGCAGATTACTATGCCAAACTAATAGTTAATAGAAAAAAATCCGTAATCAAACAGTAAATTGAGAGAAAACAATATCAGGGGCTGAATGCTTGTAAAGCAGTTTATGTATTGCTTGTAAAGTAGAATCAAACTAAATGTTAGAAATAAGCTTAAGAATTAAGAATTGGGGACAGAGGCTGGGCATTTTGAAGTAAAGTGTAGTTGGTTGTTGCCTCTTTGTGCTGAAGGGAAGGAAACATCCTGCATGTGACCGAAATGTTCCTGAACACCTTGGTATGAGAACGCTACCAGAGATTTGCATTCAAGAAGAAAACTTCTTTTTGGGCAATTGTGTCTCCTTTTAAAGGAGTTTCATTTTTCTTGATTTTTAGGGATTAGGTTGCTGTTTGCCATCCTAGTGTTAGGAGTTTCTTGCTATTTATTTTATCTTTATTTTTGTATGAGGACTTCTTGTCCTATTTCCTTCTTGCTTTCTTAATAAATTTCTTTGTTGATGCTCAAAAAAAAGAGAAGAAGAAAACAGAGCTATGAGGGTGGTTAGTCTGTGTCGGACCCTTCCCAATACATGTCCGACACTGTCACTCACCAAAACGTGTCCTATTTTTTTTTTTTATTGTTTTTGAACCCAGACACACGTGTCCGTCAATTAAACACACATAAAACTAAATATAAGTTTGAATAAAATTACGTGGGATAACCAAACTAAACCAAACCAAGCCTTAAGTCTCATCAAATGGAGTCGGCTACATGAATCTTTTTTTCCCACTCGACTTTATGAATGGTCATTTGGTTAGTCAAATTAAGAAGATTCATATCTTTATTTATTACACTAGTTCACGTCAATTTAGGCATGCCCCTTCCCGGAACACTTCCATCTACCGTTACTGTATCACATATCTTCACTACTGCCTCTGTTGGTCTCTATTGTATATGACCAAACTATCTCAATCTATTCTCTCAATTTATCTTCTATCGGTACTGTAAGAATTCTGAATAACTCTGTATATTCAAATTTTGTAATTGATACAAGAATACATTGGTATATATAACAATCCAAATCCTAGAACTGAAAAAAGGAAACAAAAATATACTCAATCCCTAATATATACAAAATATATATACTACCATATATACATAAACCTAATATTCTCACACTCCCGCTCAAACTCAAGGTGTTTTAGCAAAAAACACTAAGAGTTTGCCAAGAATAAACTGAAACCGAGCAATGGTGTGTCTTGGTAAAGAAGTCAGCAAGTTGCAAAGTCGAAGAGACGAAAGGAAGCGAGATAGAGCCAGACTGCAGATGCTGACGGACAAAGTGATGATCAATTTCAATGTGCTTCGTCCGTTCATGGAAGACTGTTATGGGCAATCTGAATAGCATTGCGGTTGTCATAGTAGAGGGAGGTCGGAGAAGACCGAGGGACACCTAAATCAGATAAGAGACAATGAAGCCAAACAATCTCAGCAGTAGCATGAGCCATAGCATGGTACTCAGTTTCGGCAGTAGAGCGAGAAACAACAGTTTGTTTCTTACTTTTCCAAGAGATCAAGGAATCGCCAAGAAATATACAAAAATCAGACGTGGACTTGCGATCAGTAACATCACTAGCCCAATTAGAATCAGCATAGGTCATCAAGTCCAAAGAAGAAGTAGAGGACGATAGTAAATCCTGAAAGATAGTACCTCGGAGATAGCGAAGAATCCCAACGAATGCAACCCAATGGGTGGAGCGAGGAGCATAAATAAACTGACTAACCACATGAATAACATACGCAAGATCAAGACGAGTAACAGTCAAATAGACTAAGCAACCCATATGCTCTTGATATAAAGTAGGATCATCTAGAGGAACGCCATTAGTAGTGTTGAGTTTCACATTAAGCTCAATAGGGGTATCAGAAACCTTAGTGTTAGTAAGACCGGCATGATGAATAATCTCATTGGGATACTTGGCTTAAGACAGAAAATAGCCCTTGGGAGAAGAAGTGTTAGAATTTACCATCACCTACCACCACTACCACTTCACCTACTCCACTAAACCTAACCCACTACACCACTACCACCTCCACTTCACCTACTCCACCTACCACCTACTACCACCTACTCTTCTATATATAGGAATCATTGTAACATATACTCTTCTATATATAGGAATCATTGTAACATATCTATACATCAATCAATAATACAATTCTCTTTATATATTAATTTTTACATGGTATCAGAGCGGGTTTAGAACCTAATATTTTCGCTTCACCGGCGGGCGGCAACCTCACCTTAGCCGTCCGCCGGACCTCAACCTAGTCCGCTAGAATTTTCTACACATACCTTGAAATTTCTTCGAGTTCACCACCTGCACGCCCTTCGAGTCGCTGTCCTTGACTCACCCAGTCAACCCAGACACATACACAACACCACCACTAACCTGTCCCAGCTCCGGCTGCCGCAGACGTCGCGACCGCCGCAGCCGTGTGATCCAAGCTGCTACTCACCATTGCTGCTTCACTTCAGCCTAGCGACCCATTTTCTCCATGGATAAGGCAAATTCAGAGTAGAAATTTTGGAGTGATCCACTGAGGAGCTGTGTGATGTATGTTTTTGTTGTGGAGCTTGTTCTCAAAGCTGAATCAGATTGAAACAGGCCTCTTCTCTTGAGCACAAGTGTGTAGTAGTCAAGATCAAATGTTCTGAAACTACCCGGATCCATTTCGACGAGGGTGGTATTGTCAGTTGATGTCTTGCACTTTCTGGCTTTGAGATTTGCAGCATATTCACTGTCTAGAGCTGGGTCTTGATCACCCACACCAGTGAAGTTGTATAGACGTGTTTTGTCCGTTCTTGTTGTCTTGGCAACATCATCTGCGAAAGATAGTGAATCACTATATCACATTGGCGACATGACCCACGTGGTCTAGCTTTTTCTTTTTTTTTTCTTATTATTATTATTCTTATTATATCCAATACTCACTCCACTCATATTTCCCACTACCCGTGCCCCCTTTTGAACTCATTTCCCCTTTTTTTTATTTATTTTTAATCCATTTTTTCTTTGCCTTTCACTCACCTTTTTCACATGCACACCACCCACGTTACACTTTTCTTTTCTTTTAATATCTATATATATATATATAATATATTTCCCCTTCTCTTCTTATTATTATTATTTTTTTTTATATCACACCTCTCAAACTGTTTTTTCATCTCACCCATCCGGCGCACATGGGTCTGAGTCCAAAAAAAAAAAAAAAAAAAAAAAAAACCAAAAAAAAAAAATCCCAAAATACCCCTTAATTTCATCAAATTGGTTATAACAACCCCCATCAGGCATTCAGTCGTTGTCACCACCAACCCCACTCGCTGACCACACACCCCAACCCAAAACCAGAAGACAAATCTAACTAGTGCGTGATGCGTTAGACACAGAGAGAGAGAGAGAGAGAGAGAGAGAGAGGATGGCAATGGCGATGGCACTTCGCAGACTCTGCTCTTCCCTCAATAATAACCCTCTTCTTCACCGTCTACCTAATGGAGCTCCCCTCTATTACATGGTCTCTATATCTGTACATACACACACATATATTCATTTCATTTTTCACTTTGTCTCTTCATTTTCTTCCTAATCGTTTATGTTTGATCTATTTTATACAGTCTTCTTTGCCCAGCGAAGCAGTTTTTTAATAATATAATCAACTACAGAATTTTTGTCCTGTTTATGAAATGATTGGAGATTATTGGAATTTGTTGAATAATTGTGGGTGAATCCGGATAGTGTATAAAATGATTTGAAATGTTGAATTAAGTTGGCTTGAGGTTTTCAGTGAAAGACCGGAAATCCGCACAGACTAGGTACCAATTTCCTTCCGATTAGCAACCGGTAAAGTGGAGGTGGTGTTGGTAGTTCTTTGATAGACTACTGGCAGATACATACATAGGATTCATTGTGTTTTCGAATTGATAAATACTCTTTTGGTTTATGAAAGTCGTGGAATTGGTAAGTCATTTGGAAAATCTTATGTTTTTCGAAAATGGTCCTATCATTGAAACAACATGTGCATTGGCATCCATAATCATATGCATACTCGATGCTTTACTTATTTAGTTAAGATTATCTTTACTGGGCCTAGTGCTCATCCCTTCGCAAAAAATCATTTTCAGGTATTGATGGTGTGCCTCTGCAGCCGGTGCGACAAGTTTGTGACTGCCGTCATCGTCTCCACACAGGACTTCAAAGTATACTGATTGGCTTCAATGTCAGTTTGCACTGCCATTTTTTGCTCCACCGACCGCATAGGAAAGTTCAACGGAGCAAACCCTGGGGCGCTTGGTTGAGGTTCACTGGCCCCCGCACCAGTTATCTCTCTTGTTGACTCGTTAAGGTCGGGAAAGAGAGTGAGTAGACCACGGGATGAAGAGGCCATAT